GGCGCTCCTGGTTGTGGGGCCGAGGGCGCTCCTGGTTGTGGGGCCGAGGGCGGTAGCTGTGGTGCGGAGGTAGCGCTGTGGGCTATGGTTAACTGGCAGAAGGATAGGAGCTTCTTTCAGTGCCAGCTGCCTTTCCGAAGGTGGCAGAAACTGTTGGGTGGCGAGGGGTAACGCCGGTGTGTGAGGGACGTCTGGGTGGGCCTCCTCCCACCCCCAGGGTCTTCTTGGCGGAGTGAGAACAGCAGGGGCAAGCTCAGGTCTCTTGGGCCGGGAGGGAGTTACTGCTTGTCTGGAGTTTCATCCTGCCAGTAAGGGATTGTTTCCAAAGTAGCTCTTCACAAGGGAGAACAAGGATGTGCTAGACAGAGGTGTGGAAGTAAAGCATGCATACTAAATATCTAAGTTGCCTTTGGTTTTGCTTGACTTTGTATATTGTGTATGATAAAATTTCCCTCACTTGGATTTCTGCAGTGACAGAACAGCCAACTGCACATCATGGAGGCAAGTACTGAAAGTATCAGGAAGACGTCTACCCTAGGCTACCAAAATTAAACACTGAGCCATCTTACAAAGCACACAGAACTGGCCCGTACTACTAAACAGTAGAAAGTATCAAGTCATGACCTTATCTGTTAAAGGTTTGGGAAGCACTTTGATCTAAACTGTATTCCAGTCATGTCTAAATGTTACTTCTTGCTTCCTTCTTTCAGCAATATCTGTTGGTCTTTTTGACCTGTTTTCACTTAGAGCAGCTGAATGGATTCGTTTTCTCTGCTGTCAGAATACTAAGTTGGTGAGGCAGCAACTCAATGGCATGACCAGAGCTTCCCTGAGGAAATGAGCTGGCTTGCTGTGTGAGTCTTTGCAAAAAGAACAGGCTCAGGTCTTCACAAAGACTGTCCTTAAAGGATAAACTTTCTTCTCTGGAAAGAAAAATAGTTGTTACTGTATCCTTGAAGCTGTATTTCAAGACTAGGCATTCCCACCACTGTCCACATTTAATAGTAAAACTCAGTGGCTGGAGGAAGTTAGTTTTCATCTCCATTTCTGAGTATCCAGGCTAGCATTCTCGTAGACTGCTATGCTGTCCTATGTGAACATAAGCTTTAAGTGCTGCTAAGAGGAAGATTTTAGGTTTGCATTTTACTGTCTAGATGGAATGTGTGGAGCCATAAACTTCCAGATTTTTAATCCTATGGACAGTCTTTTTTTCTTCTTCTGCTTGAGTCAGTTGGATTCTGATAGTGTCCATCACCTTGCTTCAAACTTGCTAATACAGAGTTTAACTTGCATGCAGTCATTAATCAGTTTGTGCTGATTCAAGTAATTTTATTTGTTAAGTAGTAGTTCATATACTAGGTGATATCCAAAACATAAATATAAGAACTTAGCATTGTCACTGGTTTGAAATATTTTTAAATCATTTAATAAAACTTAATGTTGTTATTAGTTAATCTTGTTTGGAACAGAGGAAGTCTTGCTGATGTCTTCAGATGGGCTACTGCTTTCAAATTGCTGGGTGCCGTTTACAAATCGTAGAGCCTGAACAGCTGGGCATTGTTCATTCCTAGTTAACTCGCATCAGCCTTTTGCTGTTGTAGAAAATTTTGTAGTTATTTTCACATTTAGCAGTCATTGTCACTTTTGGTTTTCAGATGTGTTCTAAAAGAACTGGAATCATTGGGAAAAGCATTGTATGGAGCAAAATTAATTGCCCAAAGATTTCAAGTTCGAAACTGTTCTCACCATAAGGATCCTGTGAGTGGTTCGGCCTGTTTACTTTCCATGATTGAAGAAGGAAACCCTCATCACTTCTTTATCGCTACACAGGTAAATGCTTATGGGAAATGTAAGTCCATTTAATTTTAAGTAATCCTTTGATACCTAAGGATAAGGAAACCTACAGAAACCTTGATTATGAGATTTTTAAATAGCTTGTGGGAATTAATCTTGTAAATCCTTATTCACTCTTAAGTGTATTTGCCGATTATGAAGTAGGGACTCTATTGTCTTAGTTGAAAAACTAGATTTACCCTAGAAGGGTATTGCTTCCTTTAACAGAAAGTGTAGAAAACATACTGACTACCTATTGACGTGTAAGAAAACAACTGATGAATATTAATTTGCATATTGCTTGTGCATGCATCCCCTGCTCCAAACTGTTTTGCTCAGTAGTCTGAAAAGTGAAATTAAGTGTTAAGTGACCATGTAACTTCAACTTTAGGAAATTTTAGAGGTTTTAACTAAAGAATAAAGGTAGAACTTGTGGACAAATAAGAAAGGCAGTTTTTTTTCTTAGGTCTGTTATTGGGATTTTATGTATAAATTACGTACAATATATACAGAATGGTTTACAGTAGAATTCTGTATAGTTATGTAAGATACAAGGAATTTAAAATGACTTGTTATAGAAGAAATTATGTTACTTCTTGTGAAGTGGTGGACTGCATACCAATGAACTGGGACTTTTTCCTCAAAAAATGCATATATGCTTATACATGCATGAAAAAAGGAAATGATAATAAATTTTCCATCAGAGGTACAGCTAATCAGAAGGAGAGAAATTGAAATTTAAATTGCTCTGAAAGGCACTGCCATGTATATCTGCTAGATTAAGTTTCTTATCTTTTTCATAATGTAATTTATCTTCATAGTTTTGTATTAAAAGTAGGTACATTTGAATTGCAAATATCCTTTAATCCTAAAATATTGACTGAAGTATTTAATTTTACAGGACCAGGATTTAGCAAACAAAGTGAAAAAGAAGGCTGGCATTCCTCTCCTCTTTATTATTCAGAACACTATGGTGCTAGACAAACCTTCTCCTAAATCTTTGGCATTTGTTCAAAAGTTGCAGACAAATCAGCTTGTTCCAGAGTACCAAAAACAAAGTATTGTGCAGCTTAAAGAAAAAGAAGGACTAGCAAAGCAAGAAGGCGAAAAGAGAAGAAAACGTAAAAGGGCAGGCGGTCCCAATCCTCTCAGCTGTCTGAAGAAGAAAAAGAAGAAAGCACAAGAGGGTCAGGAGCCTTCTGCTGAAAAGAAGAAAAGAAGGAAAAGAAAGCGAAATCGACTTAAAGCAGAAGCCCTGCAGAAGAATGAAGAAGAATAAACCCATGTTTGTAAACAATGCAGGACTTGAACATTGTTTGAACTTTGCAAAAAGAGAGATTAATACGCAATTGTGTGAAATCAAGTTGTTAATATTAAAACTTACTTTTATGAGGTGGTACTGCTTATTGCTGCGTCTCAACATTTGCAGGTTATTGTCCTAATAATTTACTCTGTTATTTAGTAACAGGGTTTGTGACAAAATATTTGGGAACCCTCATGTTTCATGATTCTCTCCAGCATCTTGATTCCTGACAGAGAGTTCACATGATCAGTGTCAATTTTTTAGAAATGCTTCTTGGGTTTCATATGGGTTTTGATGGAATGCTAGACTTTTTTCTAAATCTAGGTTGCTATTCTTACTAAAACTAGTTTTGACAGTTGTTCTGTTACAGAATGTGGAATTGACCTAAAAGAGCATAGTGTCTTACTTATCTGGATTGTTTCAATACACAAGTTAACTCTTTTGCAAAGTGACTGGATGCCCTTAAGACCCTTCCAGCCTAACTTACTCTATAATCTCCATGTGAACTGATAGGTCTGTTGCTCAGGATCTTTATTTATCAAGATCCTGAAGGGCATGTGATTGTGTTGATATTCCTGACACTATGATGGCATGTCTAGCATGTCTAGTTTATCTTTGGTTTATTCTTCCCTTCTAAATAGGAGGAATGCAACTTGCAAATGCTGAATCAAAGCACTGGCTTAACACCTAATGCCATCACAGTATAGCACAGCTGTGGAGGGGTCCTGAAGTACAGCCAGGCGACGGTGATGGGATTCGGACCCTCCAGCATGTTTCACTGTTCTGTAAGGTTATGAATAGAATAGAACTGGGTTGGAGGAGGGAGCTGGCAAAAATGTTTCAAGTACCTGGTTTTCTTTAGTAGCTGCTTCCTGTACCATGCATGTTTGGTGGCATTAGGAGGCAGAAGTGGGTGACTGAGATGACATCATAGAGGGGTATGCAGTATATAGTACATGCTGTGGCATAGGTGTGCTGTAACAGTGTTCCTGGTCATCTCTTACCAGATCTTTAACTTTTGTCCATGCATTTCTACTTAACTGAGATGTAATTCTTAAAAGAAAGGCTTTCTGTTTCTTCATCTGCATGAGTTTAAGCCATGTTTTTTAAACAGTCCATCAGCCTATGTATCATACGTTTGCAGAGTAATTCTCATGTGCATTATCTGCACAGGTTCTTCAGTGTCTGGAGTATGTACAAAGCTATAACGTATGATGCTTTCTGTTGGCTTTTCAAACTGTAAGGACAGTTGTTTCATGGAGTTTGAGAAACCAGCTTGAGTGATGGGAGTTGGCCAGTCTTAGTGGGAACTGCAGGGTCGTTTGCTAGAATCTGCAGAGATGTCCCTCCGGCCAGTGCAGGAGAGGTACACAGCATGCTCTGTGCTTGCAGCACGGTACGTGGCTGCTGTTGCCCCAGGTGGAAGCCGTTCCTGGCAACGCAGCTGGACTGTACCTTTACTGTGCTGTGTGAGAGACCCCAAGTGCCTTGCGAACTGACCATGAGAGATGGAAGCAGCAAGGAAGGGTGCTATACTCGAGATGAAAGCTTTAATTAAAATTTAAAAGTCACGGTCATCATGATATTGTTCCTGAGGAGGAATGTCATAACCCCTAGAAATTCCTTAATGCATCATGTTTGTTTAATGTATATGACCTTTCTAAAGCTGTCATATTCCCTTCTCTTTCACTTATTTGGGTACAGTGCCATGTTAATGTAGTTTTGCTTCCCATTCCCCCTTAAATATTGCTTGTATTTCTTCCCCCTCCCCAAACCCACCATCAGAAAGCACTGCTAAAAGTAAAGCTTGGAGCAGACAACAGAGATGGTTCATCTTCAAAATCTCATTCTGAGTTGAAAGTATGTTAAAACTCAGTAACTTTACTAAAAATACTGTTTTTAAAAACTGAGCAGAAAGCACACTCTAATTATTTGCAATAGTCCCTTTCAGTGCTGTTGAAACACGAAGCTTAAATACACTTTTTTTTGAAGACTGTAGACAGACAAAAACATAGTTACTGCAAACAAGAATATTTTAACAGTCCTCTAATGACTCCCACCTTAAGGAATTTAAAACAATGTTTATCTGTGTTTCCTTAGTATTTTGTTAACACAAACTGAGTGAGTCATGGTGTTGCCATTGGGAAGAACTGGAATGAAAAGGGAGTGAGCTCTTAAGAGAAAAGCTGTAAAATTTGTCTGCAGCATAGCTGCAGATCTCCTCCAGCGAGGTAAATAACTTGCTTTTCAGTTTTGGAAGACAGCTCCTGCCCAGGCAACAAGTAGAGGCAGTACCATGTGTTGTTATTGTTTTGAAATTATAAAAAAAAAACAAAACTAAACACCCTAGTTTCCAAGTAAAACAAGTCTGCCAGGCCAAAGCTGACAGGCTGTATTTCTATCATTAAATCAGTAAGGCTAAGAGCAGCCGGTAAGACTGAGCCCCTCTGGGATGGCCTGGCTCTCTCCAGGCTGGGTTCCTGTCGTGCACACCGGTGTGGCTGCCTGCCGACAGCCCTGGGCAGGTGTGCTCTGGCTGTGCTGCCTGTGCCTGCCAGGATTTGGTGGAGGTTTAGGTGGCCCAGGCTAGAAACCATGTTGGAGTCCCTCTAATAATTCAGCAGCGCAAGTCATTGGGAGCATCCCTAGGCATTGTGTAAAAGACCGCTGCGGAAGTACCCGTAGAGGGAACTTTGCTGGTGTAGATGTTCAGCTCCATGTGCTGCCCGCAGCTGTGGTGGCCAGGAGTGGGACTCCCTTATGAATAAATGGTCTGGAGATCTGGCCACATCTCTAGGATAGACAGAGTTCCCAAACTTTTCTAATACAAGTTTAGGATCATTTTGCTGTAGCATGTTGGAGGGACTGGTTTTGATTTTTGAAACTACAGAAAACAAAAGGTAAATTAAAAGGAGCTTGAGCAAAACCTTCTTTGGGGTTATTGATTTCCTCTTTTCTCAGGCAGAAAAAAATGTATACCCTGAATCCTGTGCAGTAACTCACTAAATCTTTTTTTTAAAAAGTGGGAAGTAACCAGTGTTGCACAGTACCATGTATGCTACATGTGCAGAGTAATAGAAGAAGACAGCAATAATGCTTCAGCCACAGTCTGCAGGGCATTAATGCTGAATTTAGGACAGAGTCTCATCTACCAGCAGCAGAAGATACTTGCCCAGACTGCCTGCCAATTCAGTTGGCTGGATTTATACATTGGTGTGATCCGGTACTGTACAATAAATCACTCCCTGAGCATCTGTTAACGACACTAAATAGATGAGTTAATTAGAAGCTTCTGGAACCTGGGATGTTTATGAATCATTAAAGTAAATATGAATATGGTATGACTTGAAGAATAAATACATTCTGGTGGTGAAAGGAAAATAGGATGTCCAGAGCAGTCCTGCTCATTTGTTTTCAGCTGATACGGTGTGAATGACTCCTCCATCAGTTTTACAGTGTTCCTGGAGTTTCTTGAACATGTTGTGTCAGATAGAAGATGAAGAACATCAGAACAATGCCATTATTTATACTCATTGCACCTTTCATATAGAAATTTCAGAAGCAGCTACTGTATATTTCATACCTCTGTGTGGGTGTAATATCTCACACAGGGAGCAGCCAGAAATACGGGGAATGAACAAATAAGAGCCCCAGCAGGTGTTACCATTTACAATTTCAGGGAGAAAGATTGCAGCGCACTGAGAGAGAATGACAGAAAGCAAAAATTCTCATACCCAGAGTCAGGAGTGAGAGAGAGACTGCACCTTGTGATTTAGGAATGGCCTAACTAATGCTGGGAGAGGGGCTTCTGATGTATTTCTGGTAATTATTATGTCTGTGCACTCTGAGCCTCAAATTTGTCTCAGAGAGCTCAGCTGTCTGCCCATGGAGGCAGTCATTTTGCAAAAGTTGCTATGGCTTGTTACAGAAGAGAGAGGCTGGGCTCTCTCGGGGGGACTTTATTTTCTGCTTGCTTCTCCCGCAGTTGAGAGGGAGAGCATGCAGCTGTGCTCTGTGTATGGATACAGGGAAACAACGAAGCTGTTAACAAGGGCCCAACTAAAAACAACCCAGAGACGAGAGCTGGGAGGAAGCAAAGAGACTGTAAATTAGTCACCGGGATTTTAAAGAAACCAAGGAAGAGAGAAGAATATATATGAGGGTTTCTGGGTGTTCACTGGAGGAAAGAAATGGTCAGTAGTGAAAGGTGAACCAGAAATGGCTTAGCAGTTAAGGAGAGTAGGGAACTGAATAATAAACCGTAAACAAATACTAAAAAGAAATCTTCCTAATTCCCTTAAGAAAACTTCATTGTCCTTTCCCAGTTTCTGCCTTTTCAAAACAGGGAGCTGGATTGACTATCCTGCTCACAGATCCTGCGTTGATAGCCCGAGAGTTCCCACAGAATGTAGGTCTCATGATGCCAAACACTCCTTGTCTTTATGGTTTTTCAATATTACACACTTTGCAGCAGTGGCAGGTTTTCAGCCAAATCCTTCTTCTGTAGAGCTTGCCTGACATTGCGCATGGCTCACTGCCCAGCACGCAGATATTACATCCAGGAGCAACCTTACTCATGCCATTATTGATAGGGTGAATCCATGTAGTTAATTGCTCCTGAGGGTACTCACAGCAATAGCCTGGGATAGACTGAGGCTCTTCTGGCTGTGGAAATCATGACTCAAACACAGTATGTTTTTTTCTAAGTCTAATCTCCTTCCAGGAGCTCAGTAGGGGACTTCAAAAGTTTCTTGTTGCAGTCTTGACTTCTCGTTGATCCAGAATGATCTCTTTGCCATGTTCATTCCTTTGGGGCCAAAGATGCTACTGATTTGACTCTTTGGGGCGGTTACTCTTTCAGACTGTCTTGGAGAAACACTGAGGAAATTTTTCACTTTGTGAATTGGCACCCATTTCGACAGGCAGGTTCTCAGAAAAAATGAAGAGCGCGGTTTTCTAGAATTCCTGTCTCTCTCTTTCCACGCCTGACCTCTCTTTCAGCTCCCAAGAATACAAGCAGGGCTGTTCCGGGATGGTCCAAAAATCTGTCTAGCCCAGCATCACACCTCCAATAGTGGCCGAAA